CTTTTACAATATGCAAGTGCGATAAATTGCTTTTCAAGAAGCAACCCTAAAGGAAGTTAGTCTATCTTGCGTCTTTGAAATGTTTTGAAATGCGCAATATGAGGGTTGTCGAAAGTAGGCCGGGATGTATTGTTGATCAATTAGTGAATCGACGAAGCGTTAATGAGCTCAACATTTGTGTCTTTGTGGTCAGATTAGCGCACAATTTACGTGCAAAGTCGACCACAATATTTTCACTGTAGTTTGACGTGATCACGACCTTGGTCTACAGAAAAGTGTTAAGGACAAAACTAATATTGTTGTCTGTCTCCAACAATTGAATGTCTAAACCGAACTCTCTAACGCGTCCGACAAACTACAATTGTTTTACTTTAGTCATTACTACTAATTAACTAGCGCAGTGATTGTCTGATTCAACTAATAAAATGCAAGAAAAACATTTTAGCTAAATAACCCAATCACCGCGATTTAAAACGTGATCACTTAAAGTCCAGGTTTTCTTTAAAAATAATTAATGCCAAGTTGTTGAGATTTTGCACGCGGAAAAAACCGATCCACTTCATTAATTTTAGTTGCACATATTCAAATATCAAACATTATTTGAAAGTGTGAATGCACTGTCTCGATGAATGTGATTTTTTTTTTTTTTTGCTTTATGTGCTGGTTAAAGGTAGATTTTCCGTGTAAACTTCATTGACCTGTCACTGCCAGCGCGGAAAACCGGCCTAGAATACTTAAAATTATTATAACTGCTAGGAAATTAAAAAAGATAACCACTAACAAACTAGTTTACATTGCAGGTAAGAATTGATAACATTATCAGAGCCCAAAAGCGCCTTATTGCTTCAATTGATTGCGCTTTTCCTTGTTCATCTGAACTACAGCGCCAACACAAGAATGCATGCGATTACTACTCCGCCTTGACAATTACATAAACAATTCAATTGCGCATAACAAATGTAAAGTTTACCTACCAGTTACAAGCTGGTTCGTGAGTGAAGGATCGGTGGTCATATATTCCAAACCCGTCACATTATTCAAGACTGCCTTGATGCAACGGACACATTCGAGCTGCAGAAACGCGTCGGAAAACTTCGCTAAACCTCGCTCGCAAAGCTTTTCTAGAACTTCAAAAAGCGTAGTTAATCCTCCTTGCACCAAAAAATCCGTCATCCACTTCTTGGAACTCTTTTCAAGCTTTTGAATCAAACTTGCATATGTCTTTAGAGTAGGAATTCGCAGAAATTTTATAAATAATTCAGGTTCTACTTCGTTTAATTTTTGAAGATCGATGACTGGTTCGTCGCCTTTGCCCTCAGCGTTATCTTTAATGTCCACTCCGCCAGCCTGGGCAAGTTTTTTCCAATTCTTCGACATGACGATCGATGATTTAGAAAGTAACAGCAAGAGTGTGTATTTTCTAAATCAGTACATTCCAAATAAACGGTGGGTATTGCCAAAATTGTTTGCAGTCTCTGTGCTACGGGTGTTAATCGCGCCGGTTATACATTAATGACCGCATGGGGTTTATCATTGCTCATTAAATAGCCTACTTTAAATTTATTCAATGTATGCGTATCTGATACGCCTCTTCACATCTTAATTGCTATTTATTTCCCTGTAAAACTAAGAAAGCAACTACCAACAGGTGGTGACCTCTCTTGCGTAAACACCGCAGAGTTTCCCACGTCATCGAAGTATCTAAAAGCACTTATAGTATAGTTACATTTTTTCAGCTTTAAAATCTTATCAGTGATAAGTGTTTGCCACGCATAATAAGGGACATGGCGACCTCAAATTAAACCAATTGAAGGGAGCTCTGTTGTGATTAGTTGAGCAGTGAAAAAAATTGCTCTAACTATTACGGAAATATGGCTGGCCTTGAAAAGACACATCAGAAATTGTGATACATTCAGCGCAGCAGTATATCGGCTCGAAATGATACGTGCTCAAATATAATATAACCTTGTTCATCAGATATTTAACCTTGAAGTGTCTATATATGTCTTCTGCAAAGAAGAAACACTTCCGTAGACAATCATCACCAATTGCTTGCCTAATTTTGTATTTTTGTCGTTTAGGACCTATTTTCAAACAAGGGAACAAGTGATATACTGTTGTTTTCAAATCTTTAGTTTTGTCAAAACAAATGTCTCAGAAAAAAAAAATCTCCTTTAAAGTTAGCACTGAGACCTATGTAGAAAATCTGCAGACTAAGTTTAGAACCACTTCTCTGAATCACCGCGTTCATTCATTTTCCTTTTTTTTTTTTTTGCGAAAACTTCTTCGGAGAACTGAGGAATTCTGTTTATCATTAGATCCTCTACGAAAGGTCAGCCAAACTGTTGGCTGATTAACGGATTAACTTCTTATCTTGCAGTAATACAGTTTGCTAGCTAGCAGAAGTTTCCTTTCTGAATGCTTTTGAACTTCTCGATATGCCATGCAGCAGAATTTTCCTATGAAGCCACGTAACAATTTAATTAGACAAAATCAGAAACTATGCGTACACACAAACAAGGTAAAATGATGCAAACGAGGGGTAGTTTCGATTTTAATTCAATTTATGGGACTGTAATTTGTGGGTGGCGCGTTTGCATGAAGGTTTAGAAATAGACGATTGAAATTATGATATACTGTCGGTCCTTAAACGCCCTTAATTTTCAAGTTTTTAACTGATTGTGCAAGAAGTACATATCTATATAACGTCATACTGACGAAGGGAAGGAAACCATTCGTAGAAGCGAACCATTCGAATCCTCAAATTTTATTATGATCAGGAATATAAATTTCAAGTGTCATGCCTAAAAATGTTTTAAGTACATTTGGCCAGGGCTTTACATGAACCTTTTCAGGGCTTGAAGTTGTTTACTGAATATACATGTGCCAAGTTTGCCTTAATTATAAAAAAAAAAACAGTCCTCCACTTTATGATAAATATCCTTCGATTCTTAAAAGTTTTACCGAGGGCAACAAGATCACCTTATTGAAAAATCGCAAGCTTAAGAAAGGCAATTTTTCTGCAGACAAATTCTCCTTTATTTTCCATCTGGACGAAAATCCTGATTTGAGGCAACAATGGCCTAGGGCAAAAGTCCAAACTGAAACATTTGCGAAATATCTCTGTCAGCGATCATCTGACACATTTCTAATTTCTAACACATCCTTAAGGGATATACTTAACACCATTATCTCATGAATGACCAAAAATGAATTCCTCCTCACAATATCAAGACAGTTTCAAGCAGACAAGTGACGAGAATAAAGAAAAACATCAATTAGGGAATTATCAACTGATCCAATACCGAATTCTCCAAACTAACATAACAAGAATTGTATGGCAGAGAGAGAAGAGAATCGCTACTGAGATCTTGGGAGAGAAGGGGTCAAAAAAGCGATGCCTTCAGTCTTACGAAAACATATTTTTCTCGGAGAAATTCCCGCATCATGTAATTTAAAATAAATTTCTGATTCAACTTTTGAGAAAATAACAGGAAAATATTGCAGTAAACCAGCAAGTGGTATTTTATGCATTGAGTAATGCAAAATTACAAAGTGCTGCAGCATCGTCCTCAAGCTCTGCCGAAGACTTCGCAATCCATCTATGTAAAGTAAATTTAAATCCAAGTGAACGTTTTTTCTCTCTTCTGTTAAATTCACCTACTCTGGCAAAAAAATTGACATTTACTCACCATTTACAAGTTGTTTTGCTAACGAGGTATCTGAAGTCATAAATTCCAGTCCTGTCGTATTATTCAACACAGCTTTAATGCACCGCACACATTCAAGTTGCAAGAAAGCGTCGCTGAACTTTGCAACTTCTCGCTCGCCTAATTTTTCAAGAACTTCAAAGAGCGATGTCAATCCTCCAAGCACTAAAAATTCCGCTAGCCATTTCTTTGAGCAGTTCTCAAGTTTTCGCATCAAACTTGTGTATGTTTTGAGCGAGGGAATTCGAATAAATTTGATGAATAACTCTGGTTCAATTTCGTTCAAACTGTGAAGATTCAGCGCGCCATCTATCTGATTCTCGCAGCTGATTTCAATTCCACTGGCCCTCCTCAACTTTTTCCAGCGACTCGCCGACGAGGCCATCTCGTAAAACTACGTGTTTACAGAATTGTTTTAGTTTCTAATGTTGACTTTGGACTGAGACCAATGTTATGTTGACACTTATTTTTCTTTCCCTTTCATACCACACCCTGACCACATTTCCGGGTTTTTGACTGCGGCCATGCAGGTGGTTATGAAGTGATTTGTTTAACAATTCATTCTTCCGCTCTTAAAACTTATTTTGGTCGCTATCGGTTCGTGAGAATGAATAAAACCTAGACAGTTTAGGTTGGTTTCGAAATTTCTCGCAGAAATCAACAGATTATGACCCCCAAAAAATAATTCAAGTGCCGATCTAAACAGGAACTCGTGATCTTCAACCTCCTCAACGTTGAGAGTAAATAACACTCGCGGATCAAGATAAACAACATTTTTTAAAAATACCCTCATGGCCAAAAATAGAACCTTACAGCTCCCTCATCGTTTTCTGCTTCATGTCCTCTCCCCCCCTCCAATTTTTTATTTTTTTTTTTTGTAATGAATTTCCTCTTGTTGAACACAAAGTTAGTACTTTATCCTTTGCGTACACTCAGCATTAGACCAATGTCATGTTCATGTGATGTGATCCATTGTATTTCACTTATTTTTAATGTTATTTATTATATTAGTTATTTGGTAATTTTTTTAGTTATTTTAGCTATTTAGTAACCTTGTGACTGAAAAACCCTTTTTAGGGAGTTACAATAAAGTATGTATGTATGTATGTATGCATGTATGTATGTGATAATTCTTATTTCCGGATGTAACAAGTTCCTCAAACAATTGATTTCTTTTGATAACAGTTTTCAATACAAGTTCCTCACCCGGGACAAAGGCACGCACAAAGTTTCGGTCACGTTCCTGCATAGTTGTCAAGCCACCCACTTGTTTCAAGGGCCTGGCTGCGTAGCAAGTATTGCAACATCCTTTGAAAAGTACACACGCACACATGGCCAAAGATGGCCGTCTTCCACGACGAGGTTGAGATCGAAGACTTTGAATACGACGAGGAATCTGAGACTTACTTCTACCCATGCCCGTGTGGAGATCAGTTTGAAATCACCAAGGTTTGTAGATTAGCTCTGACAACGAATCATTGTGAATCAGGAAAAGTTTCTGCGTTGTAAACTTTATCGTCAAAGTCTTTGCCTTAAAAATTGTTCATCTCTAAAAGCGGACTACTGAAATTTTCGTTTAATTCGGGTGGCTACGTGCGATCTGAACACTTAAATTATCATTTTTCTTCAAGTGGTTGAAAATCTGTCTGATACAGTGTGAATATAGCTAGCTTGAGATTTGAAACTAGTTTACGAGGAAATATATTGTCTATCTACGAAAATTTACGTCTGGGAACTTCCGTTTTCCCTCACCATCAAAAAAGATACTAAAAAATTTCGATTCCTGTTTATATCTCAATATGACTGGAAGAGGACCCATATCGGCATTTCTTTCCAGATGGACAACATGAAAACTTTATATAATTATTTTTCAAGGCTGAGTTGGAAAATGGAGAGGATGTGGCCCGGTGCCCAAGCTGTTCCCTTATTGTGAGAGTCGTCTATGACCAGGTGAGTTATTTCTGGCGAGAAACAGCCAGAAATTTTAGATTGATTTTCACCTCTGTTGTGAGGTGTGGCTAGTGGCCATGATATTTGTGCACTGGACCACGGATGGGAAGATCCAGATGCAAGAAATACCAAGGGTCATATTTATCAGTGGTGTTTCCTCTGGATTATACACTTCAGAATTGTCTTTGTGTGGAAATGTTGTCATGGATGCAGTATTTGGCAGAAAAAAAAGAAAATGAATTGAAACATCAAGGAAGATTTCTCCTCCATGTGCAACCTTTAGGACAAACTGACTTAACATGGTATAATACGGCTGGTAGTGACTGATTTAATTGATGATAACTGATAACAGTTTGTGCTCTAGTGAAGCCAATTCTCCAGTAAATTCTAAGTCACTGCAGATCAACTGCAAGTTCCTAAAGAGAGATTGGATAGACCAAGGCAGGACAGTCTGGTATTCTGGTTAGGACAAACATATCACTTTCATTTTCCCTCTTTTAAAAATGAAGTTGAGTCACAACTTCTTGAATTGGGAAAGTGAGTTTTACCTGTACAAGAAAAAAGAAAGCATTTTTGCATAATAAGTTTTAGCATATACCCTTATTTTAAAGCAGAGTTTAGACATATGAGAATTGGCCTATTTAACTGTCTTTCATGGTACTTTCTTATTGTAAATGTGTGCATTTCTTATAGGAAGATTTCATGGTTTCTGAAGAAGTTACTGCACCAGCCCCAGTCATGGAGAGAGCTTAGCTAGCAACTAGAAAAACAGTAACATTACCAGAAATGTTGTGGTGATACCCAGTACCATTCAAAAGGAACATTGATGAAAGTTACATCTCTTGCTTAAGTGCAACAGTCTCCATCTTGGGAAGACAAGCAGAGGCCAGGACTGTTCCTTACATGAACTTGGAGGACAAATATTTTTTTTTTTACCAACTGTTTTGTGTCTCTCAGATCATAAGAGGATACCCAACCCCTAAGGCCACACAAAGGGACTTTTTCTCACTGTTCAGAATTTTACCATTTTTCAATACCAGGATGTCATATGTGAGCCCCATTCAAAGTCAGCATTCTTACTCTGACAAATGCAGAATTAGCAAAAAAATTGTGAACCACAAGTCACAAGATCAATTACCAGGATCAAAGACAGCACTCCAGGAAAATAGTTATCAAGGATTTTTCATGACAATTAGGGCAGCTCATTTTAAAGTACAAAATATAACTATCATAGTTGATATCTGAATAAAATGTACATTATAAACACTTGATTGTGCCAGACATCATTATTTTATGCCAAGAGGTGACATAGATGAATTTAATTCAATGCATATGAGTTTGAGTTTGAGTTTGAGACATTTTTACAGAGCAAGATTTTCAGCCTGTTTTAGATGTTCAGTCCGTAAAAATGAAGTGCAATCATAGTAAATGCGGTGAAGGTAAAGAATCTGATATTACCAACACACCACCCAGTTGTTGACCAGCAACACTTCCTAAGCATTCATTTGGTAAGATCAACTAATATGTGGGCCAACGTTGGCCTACCCATTACCAACATCTTATCAACACATTAGCTGAAACACAACCAATGGGTTGGAAGCAAGATTCTTTCTCTTTTCATAATTGGGGTGATAGTAGTGGCTGATCAAAAAAAGACAAGAGGGGTTTGGGTTGAGTAGATCCGCTGCCATTATTGCACTTAACTTTTCTCCATTTTACTTACTGAACATCCAGATTAGGCTACAAGAGTTTAGATTTTTCATAATTGTGTAGCCAATAAGCAAGCTCCCAGTGAGCACAGAAGATGTCAAAATACTTTAAGAACAAAAAAGTGGCAGACAAGGCACAGCTGAGTGTGTTGCCGATGTTCTTTTCACATTTTAATGTGTTCTTTGATCTAATACTGAACAGACCCATGGCAACATAGAATCTGTTTGTTTTATTAGATGACAAAGATTAATGTTGTTAATGGTGACGTCATCTGTGTGTCTTTCCTCCAAGAGATTTTAACTAAGAACCAATCAAAATGCACGTATCATTCAGCTTCTCATATTAACAGTGTTGAACAGCTCATAAACTTCATGACTGATCCACCAATCACACGAATAACTGCTTTCTCAGCAACACTGGCACCAAAATATGACCAGTACCGCACAATTCTTTGTAAGCTGGTGTGTGTGACGTCACTTTGACAGATCTAATCCGACTTATTCTTGCATGTGTTTTACTCAATCCATTGAATGTGAATGACTGTAGACTGCAAAGTTAACATTCTTGGCCAATATAACATCAGTCAGGCATTTCAATGGATACAACTGGTACCACACATTTAGCTGGGTACTCATGGACGACTGGTTTCCGTTGTGGTTCAATGGAAGTCTCTTCCCTAGGTGCTCTTGAGAAAACACTTTCCGAAAATTTACAAGAAATGTTCCCATATTCCTGTAGAAAGGGACATACCCCAAGGAGAAACTCACAAAAGTCCTTTCGCATTCCAAACCACCCTACAAAAAAAGAAAAAATAAATACTTCTTCAACAAACTTTGGACCAATGTGTGAATTTAAAATGTATTTCTCTGTGTCACTGTCCTCAGAATCAAAGCAAAAGTTTTGTCTCCAACCTGCTTGAAAATCTCAAGAAAAGATGGACGATTACCTTCTAAATTCTCCTAACTTGTCTGATTGACAGTTTCTGTCATTATTTAATGCTCAAACTCTCATGAGTGACCAAGAAAGACTTTCTCTCAACCATATCAATCCAATATCAAACAGACGAGTGATGAGAATAAAGAAAAATATTAACTGGCAGATTATTAGTTGATCTGATACCAAATTCTCCATACTGAAAGCATAAGAATATATGGTGGACCATAAGGAGAATCACTACGAGACCTTGGAAGTGACAGGGTTATGAAATGAACAAACCTGGGAGGAAAAGGGTCACATTTTTCTCCATTACTGTAAATAAAAGCGACAAAGTTGAGACTCAAAAACCATACACTCAGAGATTTCCCTGAGAACCTTTGATTGATTTGAACTCTTAGTTGAACCCACTTACAGTGGTTGCCTCCTTTGTGATAAAAGGACGTAGCGAGCAAACTCAAAAGAGATATTTGAAGGGGAGCCACCACTCCAACAAACATGTCTTGTGTTATGCCATCCAGTCTGTTACACAAGACGATCTGAAGCATAGTGAAAAAAAAAAAAAAACATCTCATCATTATTAGTAAAGCTTTCTTTACAAGCAATATTTTCAATAAAACCAATTTCTCAACCCCATTAAAAATTGGATTTCTTGACAGAGATTAAGTGAAAACTTTCATAAAAGGAAACTGTTTAAAGTATTTCTCCCTTTGGAAGATAATTGCAACCTGATGTTTGTGAAAAGTTTGGAAAATGGCATGTTGTGGTCTTATTTCCGTAATGTTAGTCTAAGCCAGAAGTGTTAATTTCTGCAAAGATCACTTTGATTTTCATTTCTTAACCTGCAGTTCACATATGATTTTCATATACTTGCAATCATTTATTCACCAGTTTATGGGTTTATAACAGCTCCCAGTTGGCTTGTGTGCTCAGTTGGGAGCATTGCAGTGGTATAGTAGAGGTCATGGGTTCAAATAATGTACAAGCCTGAATTTTGACCAAGAAGTTGGAAGTGAAAGGGTAAAACATTGAGAACTCAAAGTAAAAGCAAGCAACCTGATTGAAGTGCGGGAAAATGCAAAGTGACCACAAACATAACCTAACATATCATTTATTCAGGAAGTTACGATGCAAATACATCCTGAAAAGGGAAAATCATGAGGTTAGCCCTTTATGAAAACAATTTCCCCAGCTAAAAACATACAAAAGATAAAATTTAATGGCTACAGATTCAATAAATATTCATTAAATATTAAACCAAGATGGGATTTGTTTTGGTTTTGCATTTGATTTCAGGATCAATCACAGAGTAAAACAAAAGCAAAAGCAAAGTGATCTTGGATCAGTTTCAAAAACTGCTCTGAATGGTCTATTCACTAACCATCAACCCCTCCCAAAGGTGAATTGCCCCCTTCCTCACCCCACTCAGATTCTAAGCTGGATGCTGCCCTGTCAAACGACACACCTGAAATGTTAGAAGTGGAATAACTAGAAGAACAGAAGCTACAGCCACCATGGCATGGCCTCGACGCTGTGCTGGAAGGACTTCTGCTGTGCGAACAAATATTATGGACCATATTACATAATACAATACTAGAAGACAAAGTAAGGACAGCACTATCCACGTCGGAACAAACACAACCTGAAAGATATATCAAAACAGGATTGCCCTGTGAGTCTTTGCAATTTGTTAAACCGTAAGACTGACTGGCATCTCTTTTTTCCTTACAATTTCACTCCTGAATTGCACTTGAATGTCACAAGAATAAAAGGAAATGATCACCACCCAGTGAAGCTGTTGATTGTTAAAACACATTCTTCATATCATCAGAGCATGGAATCTGATGGTTTGAGGTTTGTTTCCTCATGGGGACTCGGATTTTTTTTTTTAAGTCCGTACGAGCAGCTACTTTAAAAAACATCTTTCTACATTTCTTTTTTTACTTAATGGTTACAGTATGTTAGGAAATTTGAGAATCTTTGCTGACTTTTCTTGTTAATGATGTGTGTTGTTAGAAATTGAGAACATTGTGAAAGTTGGTTCAAAGCAGAAATCTTAGTCTTCATAAAATGAAAAAATGTCCCCACAAAATGAAAAAAATATACCAATCAGCGAATCAAAACTCTGACATCTAAAATTTTAATACAACTTAGCAACCAGTTCACACTCACCACCCAAGACCATAAGATAACTCTGTCCAAGCGTAAGGAAAGGAAAATAAACTGCAGAACATTTACTGAGAATACTGTTTCAAGCTGCATAATTCAAGAGAAAACAAAATTACACAATTCATGCCAAACCCTATAAGAACCAAAAACAACACATTATCAATCCCAGTAAGTGTTTAGAAAAATTGTGATGCTATACCAGTGGAGATATCACAAAAATTATTTGATTTTTATTTACAGAGTTGATGATGTTTAATTTCCCACAGTGAAGAGTTTCCAATGCTGACATTTTAAGCATTAGCCCTTTGCTTTGAGAGCTGAGAAAGGTTGATAAAAAGCTGTTGCCAACTTTGAGGTGACATTTTACGCATTAGCCTTTCCATGGAACAAATAGCTCTGATGAAAGTTGATGCTCAAAATGTCACCTTTTAAAAAACTTGTTTCACCACTTAAACTTCCTTTATTAACTCACAGGTACTAACCACCTAGTAGATTTGTACTGTCTTCGAGGAGAAAAAAGCTGTTTGCAAGTGACTCATCTAATCTGTGATTGATCAGTATTCTGGCATGAAAACCACACAAAGTGTCTCTTCTTTCTGACTGTAGAACTTGATTATCTTTAGTTGAGTGCTATAAAATTGTTTTTGGTTTTTACCATTTAGAATTTGAAAGAGAATTAAAGCTGTTTGCAAGTAACTCATCTAATCTGTGATTGATCAGTATTCAGGCATGAAAACCACACATAAATGGCCTACTCTTTCCAATGGTAGAGGTTATTTATCTTTAGTTGAGTGTTAATTAATTGTTTTTGGTTTTTACCATTTAGAATTTGAAGACTTTTTTTAATTTCGCTACAACTAGATGTATGAGAGCAAATCATCAGTACAAACTTTACGTCAAATTGGCAAGACTTAATTGTTATAAACATTCGTTTTTCATTAGGATTGTTAAATTATAGAATGAATTACCAAGAAACATAGTGGAAGCTGATAATCTTCAGCATTTTAAATCTCAGCTTAAATTGTACCTAAATATTTAATTGTAACTAAGTATTTCATTTTCATTTAGATTTATATTTTAGGGAGTTTTCAAGTAGGGATAACCTCTTCACTTCCTTTTCTAGAAGCATCTTTTTCCCTTTCCTTTTTAGTGTATATATAGTCTGCTTCTGGAATAAATAAAGTATGTTTAATGTTTAATGTTTAATGTTCAACACTCAATGGAAACCCACTCTTGGTCATTGGTTCATCTTACTGTTACAAGCCTCTACGCATCTGTCATGCCCCATTCATTTCATAGCTACAAACCTCTACTGCTCTGTCATGCCTGAATCCCCAGATACAAGCGATGATCGATAACGATGACAGTACATACAACGGCATGAACATAAGTCTCCATGGAAACATCCGACCACCACCAAGATTAATGCACACAAATATCTCAAACATCAGCAAGAGAAGATGCAAGGCAAGACAGATGATCATTGCCTTGAAGTCCACATGACTATCTCCTTCACCTCTGTGAAGAAAGAAAAGAGATTTGTGTAATCACATTCAGCTGAAAGCAACCCCTGTTAATTTCACCCATTAAACCCTTAGACCAGCATCTAATTTCTTCTTACTGTGTTACGACTAAATCAATCAACAAGATTATGAGAATAAAAGAAATGATCACCAACCTAAGAGGCTTTGACTTTTAACCATTTGGCAACCATGAATAAACAAAACTTATTTTTAAAATAAGTTTACCTGTATTCCGGATGTCGAATCCAGATATAAATTCCAGTAAAAGCGCCCGATAAAACCATGATTTTCCAAATCCAAATAGGAGTAAAAACCGCCCAGTAACTCCACGTAATAGTTCCATCCAGACGCAACGCCAGCAAGATCGAAAAGATGAAGAGAGTAAAGAAGAGTAAAAATTTACTGAAAGAAAAAATGAAAAGGAAAAGTTGATCAAGAATGATTGTGATATCCAACACACATTTCTCTTACCCGTGAAGGACATTGTATTTGCAATTACCTTGGATTAAAATCCTGGAAAAGGCGACGAAGATTCATGTGTTCAATCAAAGTATCTGTAAAGATTGCAATGAATGGACATACACAAGCATTCGCTCAAAGTACCATCATTACATATGGAAATACGAAATAATTTTATAAACATGGCGAGGATCCTAAGCAACTTTTCTTTCCCAGGAGACCTTGAGGTCTTGCTAACAAGGACCCAGCTTTCTGAGCAGAACAGTGAACTACGGCATTTGATGATGTTGACGACGGTTTTAGGCTGATCTGATTCAACTTTTGACGTTTCCGTCCATATTCGAACGGTTTCATCTACTTTCAGTCGATTTCTTCCGACTTTAGGCTGTTTTGTCCATTTTGATATGGCTCCGTCCTTTTGATTTCTTCCGCGCCTATGTCTTGACGGATGCGACCGATTATGACGATTATATTTGAGGCTATCCCGTCCGTTTTTAAACGGCACCGTTTTCTTTTCTTCTTAATTATGGGCGATTTCATCCAACTTACGTCGATTGCGTCTAAGTTTTGAACGGAACCGTCCGATCAGACGAGTTTTTCATTGATTTTGGACGGATCCATCCCGTCTCAAATGATTCCGTCCGATTTCGGGCGGTCTAACCCTTATTGAACGGTCGCGTCTGACTTTGGAGGAATTCGCATAAAACTGAAAAAATGCACCTGATAATAATGTAATCTTTTATTCACAACTTCCCTATTTACAAAGTGAACCTAGACTCAGAGTATTAAATTATTAATTACTAAGTTACTTCGTAAAGTTTGGAGCGTTAGGAATTCACTTGTCGTGTTCCAGGAAAAAATTTGCGGGTTTCAATTTTTGAGGATAGTCTCCCCAGGAAAAAAAAACCTTTGCAAAATTTTCATGATACGCATTACACAGTACTGCCAGGGAACTCCTCTACAAATTTCTTTTTAGAGTCTATCGTCAACTGTTCTGTATGAAGTCTCCTTACCAAGCAGAACCAAGTTTCAGAGCAAACTAATGGAAACCTTGCTATTTCCAACTTACAAAACCGAGTTAATCTTTTCCAACTAATGAGAAGATTGACTGCTTCTTTCCGACACAAATTTTTGCAAATGGGGCATACTTGTCTGCCAGATTGTTTAATCTTTTTCCTGCTCAAATGTATGAAAACTAGAAAAATAATGTGAATATTGCACGTCTCCTCTCAGGTTTGTTGGCAGAAAGAATGCAATTGTCAGTAAGTACATCACGATATATCCTTTAAAAAACGTCAAATTATATTAATGAAAACACTTTTATACATTACCAAGTTTAATTAATAGATAATTGCATGCCAGTAGTAATACCTGATTTAAATTTATAGCAAGCTACAAATAAATTGCATCTGCCCATAACAAAGTAGCCTTCTGAATCATTCGTCTCTTGTTGTTTAAAGTTGGGGCTAGAAAAAACAACAAGAGGATGTATAGGCCAATGATAAACCCTAATAAACAATAATTTATGACTTCTGTAATGACAATGCTCCATTAGTATGGTTGAAATTCACTCTCCTCTGTTCCAACTGCTGAAGCAGGACAACTCAACAAATTTGATCACAATTTTGCTGCTAAAAAACTGTCAGAAGTGCAAAAACGCCATACAGCAGAGCACAAGGATAAGCAACGAGCAGTTGCTGAGCATCCATAGCAAGCACTGTCACAAACAGCTTTGATGCTGACAAACTACACCAACCTATTGTCGTTGCTGTTAATAATGTGCCAAGAATTCCCCTATGAAACAAAAACAAAAAGGTATTAAACAAGTGTTGTTTAAATACACAAACAGGGCTAAGTTGCTTGAACTGGCACCAATCTGTGCTGAAGTATTGGCTGCAGAGCACTGGAGGGCAGGGGGGCTGCGCCCTAAAATAATTTCTTTAGGATCATGCTTGGTGAACAAACAAGTGCCTTCTCATTCTTCTTCACAATTGATTATCGACAAAGTTGACACTGACAAGATTACTGAGAGGCTTCCCTAGACAGATTACCTAGTAAGTAACATACCCCTTACCAAAGTAAGGGGTATGTGCTTGGTTCGGCATATGGTGAGCCGCCCTTCCACACTACAATTAGCCTCCCCCCATTCCTGCCATCACAACACATTCTGTAACCTCTGCCTAGAAAACACACACTAGGTCTTAGTTAATTTTACTGCAGTATGCTAGGTGTCTGAAAGGTCTCAGGTTTTAGCTTTGATTTGTATTTGTGCTGGTACAACTGTTGTGAACAAAATATATAGTTTGTACACATTGGTCTAGATAGCAAAAAGAAAAACATTATATGCAGAAATTATCAAAGCAAAAACAGATTATTTTTAAATGGCTCTACTCTTTCGATCTAAATTGACCAAAAAAACAACAACAACAACAAGAAAAACAGTTAATATGCTATCAGCTGAACAATTATAATAAAGTGAACTGTTTGAAAAAAAAAAAAAAAACTGCCACCGTTACAACCACTAACTTGCTTACTGTCTCTTAAAGAAAAGTGTAATTAAGCTTCAAAAAACTCTTACTGTAATGAAAGAAGAATTGAGATGCAGGACAAAATGACCATGGGTAGGAGACAATATCCAAGAACACTAATAACACAGCCAAAGTCAACTCCAGTCATGCTCATTAGATTCAGAATGGCATACATAGCAAGACAGCCAAGCAGACCAACTCCATATATATAGCCAAACCCATGAACCTTACCAGACTGAAAAAAAAAAGGAAGAATTATTGCATTAAAGATCCTCTTAATGTTTGTTTGCAAACATAATACTGTTGTCAGTCTCGAGCAAAATTTCAATTAATATGTGTCACAAGAAACCCAGAGCTTAAGCTTGGCTTCCATGTGTTGAGAAAATCCAAGATGGTCCAGGCTGTCACTGTTCCCTGACAGCTCAGAGTTTTCTGAGTAAGGAAAACTCAACATCGCAGACATCTCCAATTATCTAGGGTGGTCAGCTACAAATTGAGAAATTCAGGAGAGTTTCTACTTTCCCTATGCATTCTAGATTTCTGTGATGATCAGCAACCATTGTAGATATATGAAAACTCCTATTTTTACTATTGAGGGACATCAGCAATAGTTTTAGCTCTCTATCAACCAATTCTTGCTTGGCTCCAGTACCCATGAGTCACAAATTAAATGGTGTCTGTAATCCATCACAATCAATGTCTGGTGATCTTCTACTATATCAGCAAAATCTGGGATATTTGGTTTTATCAACTAAGTTGAAATATTTGTAAATTGGTCACCATAAAGAGTTGAAGACCTGATGTTTTAAGTGTTGGCCCTTTGTCATTCACTCTCACTGAGAAATTGCTAACACTCAAAACATGAGGTTTAGAACTCTTTAAGGTGGCCAATTTAGATTTTCAACTTAGCTGATAGAACCAAATTATCTTGTTAACCCACTGATGTAGCATGCACTACAGTTTCTTTCGAAACTTACTCCCTTTATTCTTAATTTGGGATGGTCAGAAAACAGTAAAATCTCTCACTGATGGTCTGGGATCTTCCTGACATATGGAAACCAGCCCTTAAAGTTTTCTGTCTGAGCACTTTTCAAATGAGCATCAAAAGTAATTCAGGATTGCACTGATTTTCCTTCCTCACCCTCCAAGATTAGTCAACACAACTTGCGTAAACTTCTCAACTAATCTGATACCAACCTCATTCCCAGGCTCTCTTGCTCCAGGGAGCAGGAAGATGAGGGACCCTGGGAACAAGGTTGATCTGATGCAAGAATGAAACAAGTTTTTGAACATAGCAAAGCAAAATCAGTGCAATCCTGGATAATCTTCTTTGCCAGAAAGAAAATTGTTCTTATCTGTTATCCACTAGATTCATAAGCAACTTTTTTCCCTCACCAGCAGCAGACATCCACCAAATGCCAAGCAAAACACCAGTGGACCAGCAAGATCTGTGTCATCCATGATGTTGGCTTCTGTGTGTTGCAGTGGGTTCAAAACAGAAAGGGTCTGTAAAATTGAATCAGATGACAAATTAAGTTTTGAGGGCATACTCAAAATTCAACCAATCAAAAAGAACAAAAAAGTTTTACAAATTTTTACAAATTTACATGACTAGTAGAGGTGGAAGTACGATTCCCTTTCTTTCCTTGACATAAAAAATATAATGTAGAAACTGAGACATTAAAAATATTTGAAGATATCGAAGGGCCGCAGCCAGGATTGAACATAGTTGAAATCTAAAAACGATCTCTGGCTAAAATGATTAAAAACTACGAACTTTCGACTGCCCGAACTGTCGAAGACTGCAGTTTGGGCAGTCGAAAGCTCACAGCTTTTAATCATTTTAGCCAGAGATCGTTTTTAAATTTCAACTATTAAAAATATTCCTTTTTCTTCCATAAGTTATTTATAAATTGCTCCATCAAAGAATCAGTACTTAAAAATTGTGCAACTGTTTTAAGCCACTTCATCAATAACGGTTACCTTAATTTGCAACTAAAAGAACATTACTTGACACCCCAGCAGCATTATGGCATCAATAAAAAATAACTGCCATTTAATTGATTGAAAACATAATTAAGGTATAGTGATATCCTTATTTATGCACCTGTTACTAAGAAAAGAATTAAAATTCAGACCCATAGTTGTTAGACATTCACTATGTACAAGAATAGGCCATTTTAGGCAAGTAATTCATGGCAGTCTCCATATAGATTCCCTGTTACCCAGTCTCCATATAGACTCCCTGTTACCCCTGTGTACCCATGTGTACCCATGTATACCCATGTATACCCTGTATACCTTGTGTACCCTGTGTACCCTTTGTACCCTGTGTACACAGGGTATACATGGGTACACAGGGTACACAGTGTACACATGGGTACACAGGGTACACAGGGTACAAAGGGTATACATGGGTACACAGGGTACACTGGGTACACAGGGTACACAGGGTA